AAGAAAATACATGAACTCATGTAAATCATGCGACCACTCAAAAAAAATATCAGCATCCATACGAACAGCCATGGACAATCACGATTATCCAACAAAAGCCAGAAAATCTCGTTGAGGGAGTGAGAGTCGGTGGAATATAGATCTTACTCTTGCTTACGCCGACATCTTATCAGATTTATACTTTATATTGTTAAAGTTGTAGAAGATATATGAGTATAGAAAAGTAAAACGAGATAAATTTAATTTCTCGTGAACCTATGAAATCAGCATATCTAAAATCTGTGAATTGGCTGATCATGTAGATATTGATTGTATTTTTGAACAGCGGTGATAATTGCATACTTAGCAAAATGTCTAGATCAGTATATAGTTCATATGAAGTAACTTTTTATTGGATGGTTGTGGGTAAGAGCCTGTATATTTTTATTCTTTTAGTACATAAATATATGACTTTTATTTCGATGATCTCACTCAAATAATCGTCTGTTTACTGCTTAACTTAATCAAAAAAACTTCAATACGATATATATGTATATAATCACATTTCTAATAATAAACACAACAATATATTTTCAACTTTCATTCATAATTAAATTGTTCAATATATCTCGAATAAAATTTTTAAAAAAAAGCATAAGACTTCTTTCATGCATAGAGTAAATATTTTAACACGTTGTTTTCATGTTTAAACGCAATACAAAAAAACTACATTAAAGTTCTTCAGCATTATCAGATTCACTTTTAGGTAAGATTTTCTGGAAAATATCATTTTTCCAATCATCTATAGAAACAAACCAAATATTACTAAAAGCATAACGAATAGGTCGTGTTGAATTCATCATTGGCATTTCGAGTACTTCACGAAAACATTCAGCTATATCTTCAACATCATTTCCAAATGCACCGGTACCAATAGGTCCAAGTAAAAGATAAGTATTACTACCATCACCTATTGTATTTGCAACAGCTGCTGCCATAAATGCACGAAATTTAGCCAAATTATTTTTCTTCAACTAAAATAAAATTTATTTTTACACTTTAGTTTATTAATCAATGTTAATAAATTGATGAAGATGTTAATGAATTTGAAAAAAAAACATATCGTCGTAATTACCTCCTCAGGAGTCCTCGGATTATCATAAAGTTCAGATCCATTTAAACAGTAACATGCCGACACCAACATATCTGCTAAACGATGTCGTTCCTCTGATTCTGCATCAAAGAAACGTATATTACGAACATAGGCTAATCCAAATTCGAGTATAGCATAACCACCGTTCATTCGTTGATATTTGAGATCAAGTAATGCTCGATAACCATCTGAATTGTAAAGAATAATTTCTTCTTGTGCCCCTATATAAAATAATTAATTGTATTTCTATGGATATTTTTCAATTAAATTTTGAAAATCAAGAACATTATAATGAATTTTCTTTGATTTTACTTAAGATAAATATTACTTACTGGCATGTCGTAAATAACCGCCCCCTGGTGATTGTTCATTCTATAGAATTCAGATGGTGTTTATAAGAATTATCGGTAAAATATTTTACCGCAAAATTTAGAACAATGATTTGAGCATCTTTAGCTACATCAAAAACAGCTTTTTCAATTCCTTTGTTAATGTAGTTAATCTTGACACGATGATTTCGATCGTAAACAGGAAACTTTCGAAGATTTTCAATAGCATCGGTATCTGACGGATCATGTGGCGGTGTTATTTCTGACTGATCTCCTTGTTTTGGACAGAGATTTTCAAGTTGTTCTACGTTCCAATAGAGTTTAAGTTCTTCAGGCTTAAAACCGTCCTTGCGAAACTTATTTATATAGTCACGAGATCGTTTTACATCATTGAATGGCTAAATAAATAGAATTCGTACAAAACTAAAGGATAATTTTAAAAAATTATTGATCTAATTTCTTGAAAAAAATCTGCTAGTGCAATCCTTGTGGGACTAAAATGGGGAACATGATGTAGTTGCTATTGTTAATCACAGAGAATAATGCTCTATTCTATATATTTTTGGACAGATTTCTTCACCATCCTATTACTTAAGCCTCCAAAAATGCAATAAGCAAGTAGTTCATACAATGGGTATAACAATTATTTAACAAGGTTTATTTTCATTTTGTTTACGCTACTGTAAGTGCTAGGAAGAATCCAAATAGTGATTCGAATAAAGAAAATTGTTTTAAAAACAAGCAATATAAGGAAATAAAAAATTATTGTTAGATTTTCAAAGACAACCCTAGCAGACAAGAATTCGAAAAAACGCGTGTACACACCGTAAAACTGACTTTTTCAAGCGTTTACACGCGTTAAAAAAAAGATGGCCGTGTAAACACTCAGAATTCTAAAATTCCACCGGTGAAAACGTACAGTTTTTTTCTATTGAATATTTGTAGACGTTTTAACACCTCGAAAGCTTGCTTTGTAATCGTGTAAACGGCCATTGGGTCCAAAAACCCATTTCACGCATCAAAAAGTTGAGATTTTTGAGCGTTTTCCCCAACACTTTTATCATTCGGATTTCTGCAATAATTACTGACGGCATTCATCCTTCAAAGTTGAGAGTTCTAGACGTTATTTTCTCCATATATTTTTTAGATTAACTATTCAGAAAGTTCAAGCATTTAAACGATGGGTGCTTCAGTATTTCAACATAGTGCAGCATCGAATATGTCGGATACCTTTTTTATAGTAAATAGTAACCGTTTAGACGGCTAGTTTCATTGACTTCCAGGTGTTTCAAGATGTAAACTTTTTTGTATCCACATAGTTCTAAATTTTAAGCGTTTAAACGGCTGATATAATGCATTTCTAGGAATTTTTATACATGAATTTTTTTCATATCTGCATGCTTCGAAATTCTATACATTTAAACGAATGACATCATCAACTTCTAGCAATTTTCATGTATGAATTTTTTCGTATCTATATAGTTCAAAATTTTAAACGTTTAAACGGCTGTATAATGAATTTTCAAGTGTTTTCATACATGAATTTTCTCATATTTGTATGCTTCAAAATACTTAACGTTTAAATGCCTGATGCCAATAAGTTTTAGGAGTTTCAATATAGAAATTTTTTTATATTTACATAGTTCAAAATTCTAAACGTTTAAACGGTTCATATAAAGGATTTCTAGGAGTTTTCATATATGAATGTTTTCGTAACTACATGCTTAAAAAATCCAGACGTTTAAACGCTTGATGTCAATAATTTTTAGAAGTGTCGATATCGAAATTTTTTTATATTTACATAGTTCAAAATTGTAAACGTTTAAACGGCTGACATAAAGAATTTCGAGGGGTTTTCATACATGAATTTTTTCATATCTATATGGTTCAAAATTCTAAACGTTTAAATGACTTATGTCAATAATTTTTAGAAGTTTTGATATAGAAATTTTTTGATATTTACATAGTTTAAAATTCTACGTGTTTAAACGGTTGATATTAAGAATTTCTGGGAGTTTTCACATGTGAATTTTTTCATACCTGCATGCTTCAAAATTCTAAGCGTTTAAACGTCTGATGTCAACAATTTTTAGGAGTTTCGATATAGAAATTTTTGTATATCTACATAGTTCAAGATTCTACATGTTTAAACGTTTGATATTATGAATTTTTAGGAGTTTTCACATATGAATTTTTTCATATCTGCATGCTTCAAAAATTCAGACGTTTAAACGCCTGATGTCAATAATTTTTAGATGTGTCGATATCGAAATTTTTTTATATTTACATAGTTCAAAATTCTAAACGTTTAAGCGGCTGATGTTAAGAATTTCTAGGAGTTTTCACATATGAATTTTTTCGTGTCTCCATCGTTGAAAATTTTAAACGTTTAAACGGCTGAGATAATGAATTTTTAGAATTTTTCATACATAAATTTCTTCAAATCTGCATGCTTCAAAGTTCTAAACGTTTAAACGAATGATGTCATCAAATTTTAGCAGTTTCCATGCACGAATTTTTTCGTATCTACTTGGTTGAAAATTCTAAACGTTTAAACGGCTGATATTATCAAGTTTCAGGAGTTTCGATATAAAAGTTTTGTATATCTACATAATTCAAAATTCTAAGCGTTCAAATGCATGATATTATCAATTTCTAGGAGTTTCTATTTAAAAATTTTATCAGCTGCACATAGTTCAGAATTCTAAACATTTAAAAGAGTGCCTCCATCAAGTTTTAGGAGTTTCGATATAGAAGTTTTTTACATCTGCATGGTTCAAAATTTTAAACGTTGAAACGGCTGATATCATGAAATTCTAGGAGTTTCTATACATGAAGTTTTTCATACCTACATGCTTGAAAGTTCTAGATTTTTAAATGATTGATTTCATCAGTTTCTAAGCATATTGGCATGGATAGCATTTTATTTGTAATTTTATGAAACTTTTGACTTTTCTAACCCCACATTACAGCGAATGGTAGCTGTTTCTTTAAATGAAGTTCTTTGAATTTTTTTTATTTGTCTTGTTGTAAGGAGGACATTCGTCCGTGTTGCAGACTTTGTAATCGGTATTCTATATCGTATTGAGCGTTTGCAGTATGTTGTAAGGTTTTTAGATTAAACAGTGTCTGGCTAACTATCAGAGTCTTTCATAGGGTTACACATTAGTTGTGCGTTTGAGCTAAGGATTGTGCCAGAGAAAGTTCGTAAGGAGTGACTTACAGAAAAATTTCCTTTTGCGCACTTGAAAATCTTTGTCTGTGGTCTATCACTGTATTGCAGTTAAAATTTGGTTTTGCATTTTTTAATAACAGTTGAAAGCGTTGCGTTTGTAACACAAAATGTTTTTAACATAACCATGTAATAAAATTAAAGCAGATTATTTTTTATTCGTATAGGTGGTATCGGACAATATTCCCCTTTATTCTTATGAAAGCACTATTTTATGTTGCGGAAATCAACAAAAGGCTGATTACTATTGGATATAAGTTTTGATTTTATCAGACCCAAACGTAATCTAGTATTTTATTTCTAATGGTACATTTATAAATGAGAAAGGACATAGAATCTCACCGCAATATATTTTGCGAGAATTTTTTTATCTGCGTGTTTTAAATTGGTAGTCGCGAAATAGACAAAGAGTATCTTAGTGAATGGCAAAAATATTAATGTTATACAATTAGTTGATGAAAAAGAAAACTATTTCGTGAAAATTAACTTATCCGCAAGAATGTTCTGATTTGTTTTTTCTCAAGTTCCTTGTCAATTATTTTCAAGATCTCGAAAGTTGAAAAAAAGGGAAATTGGTAATATCTCATGCTTCAATATAAATAATAATACAATGGCAGTCAAAGCTTCATCCTTGAACAACTGTGGCATTGTTTTTTTGTGTAATGTTCAGCATAACTTAATCCATTGTTTTCTGTTTTACGTCAGCAGATGATTTTAGTAACTATT